CAGATTTGGGAGTGCTGTTCGTCACTTGGTGCTGTGGCCTCCAACCGCAGGTGCTTCAACTCCATCGGGACTGGGCCAGAGAGGCAAGGGACCGACTAGGCGACGCACGTTACAATATTAAAAGTATCGCGTTGTTCATTCAATTTCGTCTTAACCATTAGTAAGGGGTTGATCGGGCATTCGTTTTCATTAATAGGCAAACATGTTTCACATTTTGTCAAACATCTTTTAAGACTTAATACGTGTCCGTATTCCTTAGCGTAAATCATATTTGATGACTTCAAACCGTACATTGACTTTCTTTCTTAATTAAAGGGTATGTGCAAGGAATTTTTCTCATGAATTCTTTTTGCGCAACTCTGTGAAATGTAAGAAAACTACACATTTGACAACACTTTTTGGATTAATTTTTTTGCAAATGTCCACTTCTTCAAACATTTAAAAAATTTCCATGTTTTTCCGGACTAATGCTGTTACTGTGATGTCATTTCAGGAAGACACTGTTCAGTTTAGGGTTTTTCTTTCAAATTATTCATCCAAAATTTGCTAATTGAAAACATTTGTGGGAAAGGGTTGGTAATTGGCTTACTGCCATGTACTGACACATCATATAATCACCAAATTAAAGAAGTTTACGACAGCCAAATATCCAACATTCTAGCAACTTTTTGTGCTGAAATAGCCGTGTTTTCTAATGAATATGAAACTTTGCATTAGCATAAAAACGGAGAAGGCACCAAAAACACCCATCAAAATGGAAAATAAAACTTGCAAATAAGGTTGAGTGTGACGCAAAGATGTATTTTTAAGGTTTGCATTGAAATCTTTGCATGGGCCCAGTGAATATGGTAAGTGTTTGGTCAGACATACGCAAGAAAACATTTAAGAAATAACGTAAGAGAAGTGTTCCCGACTGTAGGTACAACCATTGCCAAACATACGTGTCCCGATGTCTTACACGTCAAGAAATCGTCAACGTAAAAAAGCCACTTGATCAAACGTTTAAACAAGTAGAAAAGATCAACAGTGAAAAAGAAATTATCTTAGTCCCTTTCAATTCATTATTTCGTTGCATCTTGTTTCCCTCGTATCAGTTGATTTGTAACATTGTAAATTTTACAGTCATCAAGATTTGGGGGGAGGGGGAAATGAACCTCGGAGAAAAATAGGGGGAAAAATGATTAAAAAATCTTACTAATTTAAATGACCAAACGATGAAAGCGATTGCCCATAAACAAATAAGAAACGAAAAGCATGGTTATACGTTATAAGCGCACAGATGTTCGCTAATTTGAATGCGTCAACCGTCAAAAGGTTGCAAAGACTTAATTTAAGACTGCTACAAGTTAAGTCTTGAATGCACCAAAACGAAATAGGCTGCCCGAAAACGAAAACAAACATTCACAGCAAAATCTTGGCTGCCTAAAAATGAAATTGAATGAACCCCAAATGAAAAAGAAACTGCAATTGGACCACATGTGCAAAACTCACGCGAAATTGAATGGCAGATAATGAAACTGATAAGAAAAATTCGGAAATTCGCCGGGAAAACCTATAATACTGACAAATGAAAATCCCATTGTTATTACGTCAGCCGTCTCCACCTTGCGTGTGTTCAAAGCCCATACTGTCGTACGGCGCGGATCGGAGCACGTATTATTACACGAAACAGTCGTTGATAAAGCGCAACTTGTTGTTTTTTTTTCGATCGATCAACGACGGTGACGTCACGTCAGAGCCCTCATTCGGCAAGTCGGTGCAAGGATTGAGCTTCACGGCGAACACATTGAGCTTTAAGTTTTCAGACTATTTTGCTGTTTTTCTTCAAAAATGTCGTTGTTTGGGAACAATGTAAGGGGTCTGATGGAATGTCATGAATGTGTAAATCAATCCAGGGTAACTGTCTCTCTCATTTGTATTCTCTTTACCGGGTTTTTTTTTTTGGGGGGGGGTCTTTTTGTCTTCGCGTGGGTATGTGACTATGCTACTGTGAAGCCGTCACCAAAGTATGCCAAATCGGTGGAGCGTTGGGGTGGAGGGGTACCCGTATTCAACGCTCCACTCAGCTCGGCTACGAACAAACTTTGGTAAATATGCTAACACTTTTAAGTTAACATGGACAGATATAGCTTTATAGTGTCCCTGCGTATTTCCATAAACTGTTACGGTTTCTTCTGAATGTTGTTTCTTGCTGTTAAGTCCAACAAAATGCTAAATTTGTTGTCATGCGGACACTGGTGTACAGGATCAGGATCAGCCAGGGTTACTTCTGAAATCAGAAGGCTTATTTATTTATTTATTTATTTATTCCATTTCTTTACCCAGGGTATACCCAAACAGTTTAAAACAGGTGGGGCCCTGCATACAATAAATAATGACTACAAACATGTATAATTATACAATACATCACAAATACAATAAAATTCAATACAGTGAGATAAAACCTGATTTGAATAATGCATAGGTGTTAAGCAAATATTATAAATACAATATATTTTAAAACTATTATAACTACATGTACAGTATGAATGCTTTACTATACAGTTGATTCAGTGAACACGAAAAATTTGGATCTATCTTGTAACATCAAGGAAAGAAAAAAAATATTGCTGTAACTATATTCGCTGATTACGGGAGGGGCGACAACCCCGCGAAAACCCTTTTGGGAGAAAACACGGGGAAATTCCCATCCGGCTCCTTATTATCTTCTTATCATGGCAACCAAGTTTTAACTCCGTAGATCAGCACATATCTAGATTTGTTTCATCAGAGAAGACAGCGGCAAATACACAAATAATTATTTGCAGAAATATTAAGGCTATAAGGCTTCTCTCCGTCAGCCTTCTGAGAGCCTTCAAATTCGGGGGTCAGCACTCTATGGCTTTTGGACATGCCCTTTGATAGACGAAATACCTTTGTCTGAAATTCCACCAAAAAAGTTGAGCTGAATCATCCATAACTCTGAAAAGTTTTCCCACAATTGACATTTGGATCATGGAACAATTTTTTGGGTGGAAAATCTGAGTTTTTACTCACCAGCCTTGCGTTGCCGATCCGACGAATACAGCGGTACAGTTCATGTGTGTTTTACTTCGGAAGCTTGAATTGCCTTTCGCGATACCGCGTTACCGTAATAATTTATCACCGAAATCCGGAATTCAAAGATAATTCCTTCCTCGATACCGCGTTACCGTGATAATTTGTCACAGAAATCCAAAATTCAACAATAATTTCTTCCTCGATACCGCGTTACCGTGATAATTTATCACAGAAATCCGGAATTCGAAGATAATCCCTTCCTCGATACCGCGTTACCGTGATAATTTGTCGCAGAAATCCGGAATTCAACGATAATCCCTTCATCGATACCGCGTTACCGTGATAATTTATCACAGAAATCCGGAATTCAAAGATAATCCCTTCCTCGATACCGCGTTACCGTGATAATTTATCACAGAAATCCGGAATTCAAAGATAATCCCTTCCTCGATACCGCGTTACTGTGAAAATTTAGAAATCCGGAATTCGCAGATTTTGTTGTCCAAGGTCACATTTTAGGATAGGTGGTTGGCTGCTTAAATTCTAGTTAATTTTGGAAAATATTTGTATTGAAGACTTAAATTAAAATGCACCATTTGAAACTCAAAATATGAAACGGCCTAAATTTGATGTGATGAACTTTATGATAGGATCGAGTATTCATATACTTTGGAATCATTGTGCCAGTGCTCATCTCATTTTCGAGGAAAGAGGAATTTACCACCCTAGCGATGGTAATTAGCACCAAACCACAGCGCAGTGACAACATCTTGTTTTACGTCTAGACAAGTAAAGATGCACTTGTAACGCAGTATCGAGGAATCGATATCTTTGAATTCCGGATTTCTATGATAAATTATCACAGTAACGCGGTATCGAGGAAGGGGTTATCTTTGAATTCCAGATTTCTGTGATAAATTATCACGGTAACGCGGTATCGAGGAAGAAATTATCGTTGTATTCCGGATTTCTGTGATTAATTAACACGGTAACGCGGTATCGAGGAATAGCTATCTTTGAATTCCAGATTTCTGTGATAAAATTATCACGGTAACGCGGTATCAAGGAATATGTATTTTTGAATTCCGGATTTCTGTGATAACTTATCACGGTAACGCGGTATCGAGGAAGGAATTATCTTTGAATTCCGGATTTCTGTGATAAATTATCACGGTAACGCGGTAGGCAATTCAAGCTTCCGTACGAAACTGATCTGATTGTTTGCGTACAGTCACCATTGGAGTGCCCTGGATATGCAGGGACAGGATAGGATGCGCATAGTTCACCGAAGTTCATGTTGTTTTGTCCTGGTATATGGATTCATTCCCATGCATTGTGTATTTCCTCAAAGTCCCTGTCAAAGCGGTCATTACGCCAGGCCTGACTTGTAGACAAGATACAAGTGTACAGTACACTTTTTGTTTGGGGGTTGATTGTGTGGGTGTGATGTGTGTGGATGGGGGGGGGGCTAAATATAAAAGTCATAACTCAACATTAGACCTTAGACAATAACTAGACAATAGCTGGACAATTTTGAGTGCTAGTTCTATGTTGGTTTGTTCTAAAATGAAGCCCATTTTAACAATGTGTGTAACCTTAATTGCCCATTACACATAATTGGTTTTTATGTTCTGAATCAGCTAAGTAAAAGAAAATGGCAACAAAACGCAACGAGAATATACGAAAAAAACTTTCGTTCAGTATATGTAAACCCTGTGTTTAGGTTTAGAACACCTAAATAAACACTAATCTGTGACAGTTTTTAAACATGTGACGCAGTTTATCCAATGAACATGTTTAATTTGAAAACATATTTGGTGTTTAAAATCAGCACACTGACGGTGATAAATCTTTAAACGGAACAGTGTTGAAAATATATACACCAAAGGTGTTTAACATTTAAATACTACTGACGTTTAAAAAGTAAACACACAGCAAAAAGAAAACACGTCAATCTGTTGTAATTTTAAACATGATTGTGACACGTTTATTGCCTGTGACAGATTTTCAACATGTGACGCCATTTATTATTATTTTCAAGTGTTTATATTCACAGTGTGTGTTTAGTTTTCGAATAGTATTCAAAATTGCAAGTAAAACTTCAGTCACAATATTAACAACATTGAAATAAACGCATTTAGGGCACTTCACAAAGCTGTCTTCATTTTCACCTATAGGATTCAGTGTGGTGAAAGGCCTATTGAGTTCTATCGAATCATGAAATGGACACAATAAAATACAAATGTATTTTATGGTCACCCCTAGAGAATATTTTACATCACGACAGCAAAAATAATGTGACATTCATGTGAATATACTACCATGCCTATCAGTATGTTTCCAACAATCCTATTTTTAAGACCCCAACATTTTAAGGCCAATTACAACTTATACAAGTATCAAAACAAAGAAACAAAAACATTAACACAAAAGGGTGAATATAATGTAAAAAGGGTTAAAAACAATTAGTTTCCAATTCAATGAGACTTAGAAGTAAAACTGCAAATGAATTATACTTGTTTTTTAAAACCTATGAAGGTTTGCGTTATGATTTGAAGTGGTAAAATAAGTATTGATCTTTAGCTGAGATTTTAACAATGTATCCAATTAATTTATACACAAATACCTTGTAGTGAACACCATGAATTTGCTGGAATCTGCCAGGAAAACTTTTCTCTGATTATGAATTTTTTTAAAGAACTCAAAGCACGTGAAAATACTTTGGATAATCCAAATCAAAAGCATAGTACCCCGAAGCTGGAGAAGAAGTGCATCATTGTACGTGTTGTAGTTTGAGACTTTCTTGATGGTGTCTCCACATGTAATGTAAACTGTAGTTTTGATGCAGATACTCTGTCTGGTTCAGCAGCATTCTGCGGACATAAACAAGATTTCTGAGTGAGCCATGCAAAAACTAAAACCATGCTCACAGTAAAAAAAAAAATGGAGACCCTAAAATGACAAGTCATTAAGAAAGTTTACTCCGGGAAAAATATGAAAACTGATTACAAATTGGGTTCAAAAGTAAATTGCACAATTGTCGGCCTTTTTGGGACTCACGTCAATATTAACCTTTGTTATCAGAGATAATGTGCACAAAGACTGTAAAGTTACAGCTTGAGCTTGATCATGGATCAAATATTAAAAATAAAATCTGAAGAAAATAGGCAAGCTTTTCACAGTTTCGTACCAATAACTTTGCAGTCATGTAGGTATTTACGGAGACTTTGTATTTAAAATTACTTTTTCGTTAAATAATGTTTTACTGCCAGAGTAAATTTACAGTGGAAGTTGAAAGGTTCTTATGCAAGATAGAATCTCAGCCAAACATCATCATTCAATGAAATTGAAGATTTGAATAATATATTTTGCAATATAAAATTACCTCATGAACAGTTCAGTCTCCTCGTCTTCGTACCTTCGCCACGTTCAAACTTGGTGTTCTGCTGAACGTACATGTATGCAATTACATCGAGCGTCTACAGAGGACCCTATATTCAAAACATAACACATGTTCTGTAAAATGAATGGTTAAATCACGATTTCAAAAAAAATTCACTTCGCTGAATTTTCCAAGATTACAAAAATGTTGACACTGCGTGGTTGCAATTGTTACTCGCCCCATAGGCTTATAGCCTCATATTAAGTTTACACTCAACATAGACCATTCCCATAATGTGGCTCAAATACAGAACTTCCTTCATAAAATTGTGAGCTGCACAGCAGTTATACTGTATTACAGCATCGTCATCCAAGAAAAATAATATGAGGAAATCAAAATCAGGGTTGTTTTTTCCCCTTCATATTCATGTTCTATCACACGATCCTTTTGCCAAGAATTGCTCTCACTAATTAATCTCAACTCATATTTCTAAATCTATCATTGTATATCGGGATTAATTAAATCAAACAACACAAAAGACAAAACTTACCACCTGCTGGGAAGCTTCCAGAACTGGTTCAAACTACAACCGTCGTATTGCATGCACAGAATACGTTGCATCTGAGTACTCTTGCTGACTTGGCAATATGCATACGAAACTTGACCTCTAGCCTAGGTCATGACCAACTGTCAGTACGTTCTGTGAGACTACATCATACATGTATATTGTTTCATTACCCGATGCAAATTTTGTTACCACGAATGACGATACTAATTCTCGCCATTACATTATTCTATTAGTGTGCCCAGATTATTGTCAGAAAAATGGCGGTTGTCTTTGTGCCGCGTAATTAACTGGCCCGATTATGCCAGCACGCAATCAGATTAATCCTATTGGTTAAGACCTAACATCACGTGGTCAAATTTAAACAACACAAAGACATGCTAACAGACAACAAAAAGACATGCTAACAGACAACAAATTACCAATATCACTAAGGAAGAGACTATTCAATCAGTGTGTGCTATCCACTATGACTTATGGATCAGAAACTTGGTCATTAACTAAAGAACTTGAACAGAAACTCACAACAGCACATGCAGAGAGCTATGGAAAGACAGATGCTTCACTTATCCCTACGAGATAGAGTAAAACATGAAGTAATTCGGCAGAAAACTGGGGTGAAAGATGTCATAGAGAAAGCCAGCGAAGCAAAATGGAGATGGGCAGGGCATGTAGCAAGAATTCAGGATAATAGATGGACATGCAGATTAACAGATTGGCAACCACGAATGGGAAAGCGAAGGAGAGGAAGACCAAAGAAAAGATGGAGGGATGATATAACTACATATATGGGAACAGCGACTTGGACTAGGACAGCCAGAAACAGAAGTGATGGGAAACGTCATGAGGAGGGCTTCATTCGACAGCGGATGGACGTAGCCTGATAGATAGATAGATAGATAGACGTGTACCGTGTTTATTAGGTGTTGAACACAAACAGCTAAATTAATAACTTGAGTTATTATTAGTGTCCTAATTAGTTAATAAGCCTTTTTTTAAACAAAGTGTTATTCTTTGGGAACAAACAAAATGCTATAACTAGTGAAATTGAACACTTAAAACCGATCTCATAATAAACACCCTATAGCACTGTTGACATTAAACGCCAACTGTTTTGTTTAAAAACACATGATGTGTTTAATTTTGTCACAGCATGTCACACGTTCTCGCGTTTTACAGTCTACGCTCCCTTTAACCATGCTCTGATTCACGTTTGTTGCTGTTATAGACGGAGAGCTACATAGGCCTATCTGAACCTCGAATAATCACGGTCAGTGTACGTCATTATTCTATCCACCAATTACAGTTACTCGGCGACTAGTCGGTGACCACAAGTGCCTGTCTGTAGTTCGCTTGTACCCCCGCCCTGCAAATAGGACGCTGGGATACTCTGATGAGCTTCACAGAATCTTGTGAAGGAAGTGGCATATGACCTATGTATAAAGCATCTGGCTGCAGCTGTTCAAGACCGCAGTTAGACAATGTGCGCAAATGCTATCCAAAAACTTCCCATGGAATTGCGCACATTCCATACCGGATGTGAGTTCTGTTTCATTGCGGACCATGTGGACAAAATGTTGAGCGCCGCATAATGCAATCCGACCGTTCGTGATTCGAAACGGAGCCTGAGCGAGTGACAGGAATTGTAAATTTACAACAGATAAGTTCATCAAATTAGGTTTTGCCCTTCAGATAAGTTTTACAGAATTTCCTACATTAGGCCTATTACGCTTTTCAACGACAAAAAACCCTCTCTTAACTGGAGTAAAAGAGTAATGAATCAGTCTTAACGGCCGTTTCAAACCTTACAGAGTCATGACCTTGAGGACGCGCAGGTCACTGGTCACGCAAAATCCAACCAATCAGAGCGTGAATTCATCAGAGTATCCCAGCGTCCTGTTTGCAGGGCGGGGGGGGGGGGGTACGAGCGAATGTCTGTAGTTGCGCGTGTCAATCACAAATCACGTGTTTTGGATTTGTCACCAACATCTATACAGTATCAACCAATAGGATGTGGCTATTTCAGTGTCGGTGACACAAGTTTGTATGGATGACTTTAATAGCCTCAACGATATTAACATGACTTTCGTCTCATAAATATAAAGGGTTTCGGACATATTGAAATCCTTCATTGGGTGTGATTTAATTTGGTTTATATTATTTGGCACACACACAAAAAGCAGATGAAAAAGGAAAACATTGCACATATATCCATTTCTTCATGTGAATGACTCAGAATGAGTAATAAGAGAGCAAAATCAACGTAGTATGATCAAACAACAAAACAAAAAGCCCCATTCTGACCAATATAATTACAGAATATCTTCACTTTATAAGCACTGTAACATTAAGATGACCTATAAATATAATCTCTGAAACTAATGATTAAGTCATTGTTGGGTCCAAATTGGTCGTGCTTGGGTCCGAGATGGTAGTGGATCCGAGTTGGTAGTGGATCCGAGTTGGCGTGGGTCCGAGTTGGCGTGGGTCCGAGTTGGCGTGGGTCTGACTTGGCATGGGTCCGACTTGGTTTGGGTCCGAGTTGACCTGATGCCATATGAAGCGAGTCGGTGATGTGTGATTGACAGTCCCTCGGTCACTGCTCAGGAAATCGATTCCAAGATTTAAGGCAGATGCGGGCCGCTTCTCCCCTCACAGCTTGTCATCACCTTCGGACGACAACCAGAGAGAGAACTGACTGCAAGAACAATATTGTACTCGGTGAGTGTTTGAAACCATTATGTTTTTCCCCCGAAAAAATGTGCCTTCTTGCACATAGTTTGAATCAACATGGGATTGAAATTCCGCAGATTATTGCTGACACTATTTCCAAACAGCGAGCGTGGTAGACACTGGTAGTAGGCTTGAGTCTCCCTTCTTTGTAAGCTTGTGATGTGAAGTTGCTTGAAGTCTGAACAACAATATGTTTATTAACAAATTAAATTGGAATTGAAACTGATCCTGCGTGGCTATGATACCGATGCTGTTGCACGATAACTAACAGCCAAACCAGCGCGGTCCGAACCGCCACAATTAGTGATCGTCATTAACAATCAAACATTGTTGGATATAAGTGTGACTAGTCGGAATAAACACTCTATAGTCTTACAGTTATGGACGCAAATACTAACAGACCAGATGATCATGCACTTAGTTTTATTCAAGTTCAAATTGTTTTATCTAGCTGGGTTCATTTGTAGAAATCATGCATAGAATTGTTTGTACAAATTACTCAGTCCTTCTGCTCTGCTGTTCGCCTTAAAATATGAAGCAAAAGCTCTCGGACGAATTCAGTCATGTTTGCATGTCAGCATGCATGCAACTGAGATTCTGTTGAATATTTTGGGACAAAGCAATATTGGTATTTGGCTTAATATTTTGAATGTTTTTGGTTGTGTTATAGGTACAGGTTTTCGCAAATCCTAAATAATTATGTTTAGAGTCACGTTTCAGTTGAGAAACAGATGGCACGGCTTATAGAGCCAAACCGGTGCGCCGATTTCCCATCCGGAAAATAAATCTTTATGTAACGAAGTCCAGCTGTAGTGTTTGCTCATTGTGATTCCTATAACCACAGGTTCAAGCAACCTTGAACCAGTTAGAGGAACATAAGATCAATTGCTCACAATCTTAAGCATGATGCAGCACAACTAACTTTTTGAACTTTAAGCTTAGTTGATGCTATACATTTGACCAAAACAGAGAAATCAAAGCGATTATTTTTTTGGTCCTTGTCACTGGATTTCGTTGCTAGCAAAGTTAATTGCCTGCCCACCGGCACACTATGTCGAAAACATCTTCATTTTTTTTCAGATGATATATCAGGCTGAACAATTCACAGTGTATATGTTTTACTGGTCCCTTCACTTTGAGCATCGCAAAGTTTCTGTCATTAAATCGGTATAGGTACTTTTTTCCCGGCAATTATGTAATTTATTTGTGTGATTACTTCGTTTGATCCGAAAATAGCAAAGCCTTCCAAAAGAGACATGCATGTTCCTCGTGCTTGAGTCCAGACAGGGCCATGGGAGAACGGATTCTGTTTGAAATAAATAATCAAACCAAATAATAAAAAAAATTCGGGGGGGGGCATTTATAACTTTTGAAATTCAGTTAGGCCTCAGTTAGGACTTTTTTCTACTGTCATATCTGATTGCAGTGTGCGCTTTCGTACGACGCGGTACGGTGATGAGAAACTGATGAAAAGAGTCTACAAACACGTACAAGTTTAACATTGCTTTAGAGTTTATTTTCCTGATTAACGTCGGTCAGCATCACATATGGAATTCCTGAACCCCGCGGACAAATAGAAATAGAGTAGGTAGGCGTGAAATAAGCTTCTATAACGAGGTAAAACATAACAAAACTCTGGTCAAAATTTTGGGTGGTCTATCTTAGGCTATGTAGAGAATTCTCATCCTGGACGTCAGTCGTAATGCAATGAAGACTTCGTCCAACCTGGGCACTATCAGCAATCACCACCATGTTTGTCAAGTGGCTTCATTGTGTTTTGTGTGTGGTTCCTGGATCGATTGTGAATACCAGTCACTTGGGAGAACATTTCTCATAAGTTTGAGAACTAGTCCGAAACTCCTCTGGGCACAACTGAGCACCGAAGCAGCCACAAATTACATTGCACTGATTTGAAATTGCGTCCGATAAGGCCACAAAAAAAGTCTCCGGTTTCTGGTATGGAGCTTGCCCGAAAAGTGGTGCGGCGACGCGGCTTTTTTTTTTTTTTACCCGTTTTTTTTTGCTTCAAATGTCGGCTGATGACTGCAAATTATGTCCGACTAAACTTAGTGCAAATATTATGGGAGACCAGAGAGGCCACATAAAGCTTATTCTCGATCATAGCCCCATCTAAAAACACGTTAAAATTGTGCAGCAGCAGGATTCCAGTCAAACCAGTGAGTTTGGCGGTTTTGAGACATCATCTTTCATTAAAAAAAAAATGTTTCATTTTGCTGACGGGCATGGCTACGGAGACGCGCGCGCATACCAGAAACCGGAGACTTGTTTGGGGGCCTAAACTGACTATGATATACAACACAATAGATTTCAAATTCAACAGAAACCGTTGAAGAAAAAAAAAATAATTCAACAAAAACAAAAACTACAGTGTGTAAGGGAACTCCCCAGAGGTGGCAGCAGGTCATTTTTTGCAAGTCCAAGTCAAAACACAAGTCATTGTTTGCAAGTCCAAGTCAAGTCACAAGTCATTAGGTCCAGTCACAAGTCAAGTCACAAGTCATTAGGTCCAGTCACAAGTCAAGTCACAAGTCATTTGGTCTAAAAACAAGTCAAGTCACAAGTATCTTTGTCCAAGAACACGTCAAGTTGCACATTATTTTGTCCAGCTGTAATAAGCTAAAAGAATTAACCTGGCGTGAACTTACGAGTTATTTTGAACATGCCTCCTTAATTCCCCTTTTTCAATGTGTTGCAATGACTATTCTTGTAGTTTATCACATATCTGTCGGATATTAGCCCTTTGTATACTTTAATAAATTTATTTTATATTGTAGAAATAAATGTTGAGATGACCGTGAAAAAAAGACTTCCTCACTCGATTACATGTAGTATACTAACACTTTTTTGTTCAATTTCCTGTATACTAAACGCCTACCAATGGGTTAGGCTATCCGGTATTTTACATGCAATTGACAAAGGCCTGCTTTCTTTTCATGAAAGGTTCCTTTCGAAGTTTGTTCAACCAATACATTAAGCAAGAGACAATTGGTCATTGAAAACTGTAGTTTGTTGTGACAGTCTTATTGAACACTTTTTAAACTAGTGGGAACTATTCATTTTACTGGATTCAGTCACTGAGGTCTATTTTCTGGAATGAAAAAGCTAATTAAAAGTATAATAGCTTAATTAAAGTGTATTGGGTCGCTCGAGTAGCGTCTGACTTGGGTTGGTAACAAGTCATTTTTTACAATCCCAAGTCAAGTCACAAGTCATTGTTTGCAAGTCCAAGTCAAGTCACAAGTCAAAGCTGGTATTTACAAGTCAAGTCACAAGTCACAAAAATAGCGACTCGAGTCCGACTCGAGTCCAAGTCACATGACTCGAGTTAGCAACTCTGGAACTCCCATACATTTTACCAACATCAATTTCTTCCAAAAGAGGGCGTGCTACCCAAATACTAGTCACCGAGACTTCTGTCAACGTGGATCACGATCTGCCCAAACAAAGTCGGCATTAAGGGAATATACATCATTTGCTTTTGCTGTAATTTTCAGAAATGGTTGGAATTGGGGGGTTGAAATATAAAGCAAATATAGTTACACTGACTTTTTGGAGGTTTTGGGTTCGAAAATGCAATAAAAACCAAGAAAAACGATCATTTTCCTGTAGTCTGGTTCCCTGACTCCATATAAGAAGAAACAGAGCAGTTTACATACATTGGGGAATTGTAAGGTTAGGGAACCATCTAGCTGGCTCGTACCCGTTCATAGGTTTGTAATCGATTGTAAACAAGTGCGATGGTCAATTGGGGCCAGTATTTGAAAAAAAGCCAGTTGTTTCCAACGCTGATCGGCCGACCAGCGTTGGAAATTGATACAAAAATAACACTTTCTTGAAAATGACAGTATACCAGGTGCCATAATTTTACAGGATGCTTTAGACTGTCATTTACCAACATCCTATTAAGGTATTTCGCAAAAACTTGGTAGTTTTATTTTTCGATGTTTGCAAATGTTGTATATTCCCTTTAAGTGAACAAACATAAAACACACTTTGTGGAGACGATAACTCAAGAACAACACAGTGCACTGAATTGAAATTCGTTTCAATTTAATTGTTCGGTATAGGACACAAATCGATTGAAAATCAACGGGAACCTTGAAGAATAAAATTTATTATGATTTAAAGAACCTATACCCATCATTCAATTTCAGGTACATCATGTACATTACTCATTAGCCAATTATATTTTTAAATATTCACACCCAAATAAAATCGGCGATTGTGAAGTGTAGGGTCTTGTTTGGTTTTGATCAAATTAGAGTCAAAAACTTTTTATTGCTCAAAAATCACCTTTACAATCAGAAGCAGACTTTTCTCAATTCTAATGACACCCGTTTTGCAATTTTGAACAGATTCCTGGGGTAGAAATCACGATTTTCCTGTGCGGTTTGTACCTTGCGATTCAGCGCGCCGCGCGTGCTCACGGTACATCGCGCGGTGATCGCCATCTTTATGCTTTAGACTGCTATCCCCTGGCAGTCCAGTAAAGTATTTTGTGATAATTTGGTCATTTATTTTTTTGATGTTTGCAAATGTACATTCCCTTTAAATAACCATGGAACCACTAACGGTTGTGTAGCACACTTGGTCTAGTGAGTAGTGGATATTATTAGCAACGGATCTCATGAGCGAGAAAACCCGAGTTCGATCCCGATCCCCGCTGGCGACATTTCTAAGGTTTTTTTCCCCATCCCCCAAAAATAAGAATATTCTTCTTTTATTATTTTAACATGTCTCAAACATTTTATTGCAGAGTATTACAATTTCTTTTTCAGATTTGTGGCTCTAGAGGATTTTTTTTAAAGGGAAATAAAGTCCGAAATTGTAAAATGGTCTGATTCCCATCTTGTGAATACGAAGTTACAACGCTAATGTTGGCGTGAAGCCAGACTAAAATTTGTCGCCGTAAAATAACTGCACGTTCAGTGCATATCTGGCAAGCTAAAGTTTACTAAAGTTTACCGTCTCCGGCAAAATATCCACTGCCTTTTTTTTATTCCCATCCCAGCTACCAATACCATTTAGTGCAAATTTGAACATAAATGAGGTTTTTATCCTTTTTTTCCTTTCAGACAGCATCATTGACAATGACTGGAATTATGAGCACCAAATCACCCAAGGCCGCATCTGGCCAGGTAGTATTCCTGACTGTTTATTGCATTGCTGACTAGTGACTGCTGTTTCATGACGGAAAAATGTTGTGCAGTACTTACCATTTAGGAAAGATTTCAATATCCTGACGCCACTGTTTTTCATTTTTTTTTTTTTAATTTCTTATTTTAACTGGGTAGCCCAATCCAGACAATGTGAAGAAATTAGAGTTTTAGAGGTGGGAGGAAAAGCCCAGAAGAGTATTCTGAAGACAACCCACGGAATCAGGTAGGGACTGAAAACCCAATCCACATATTGGCCCAGGCAGGATTCGAACCCAGGTCACAGCGGTGGAAGGCGAGGAAAGTACCGCTACACCAACCTGACTCCCCGATAATATATCATCATATGTTACCAAACTATGGTCAGATAGGCCAAACAAAAACATACCTTTGGTTCGGGTCACCTGACCGACCCTATTTTTGAAAGCGATAAAATGCGACCCCACACAATGTTAGCGGTTATGTGGAAGACAAAAAAATTACGATACTGACTTCCGATCAAAATTGTTTAAATTGTGCACCCAAGACTGCAATTCTTTCAGGAGAGCCCTCATTCTGTTTTTTTTTTACTATTATCTTCCAAGGTGAAAACTATGATGGCGAGACCCTGTTTTACCGTGATGGTGTTGGCGTTGGGGATTCTGTGCCTCATGACTACTACAGCTGCCGAGGAACCCTTGATCGGAGACCGATGCTTTGCTCTTATGTTCTCTGCTTGGGATTGTGCAACCCCCACTGCTGGGTCAGGGGGTCTAGCGGGGGAAGATGTGTACGGGTGTCATCGGGGTGCACCCAGTGTCAGTGCTACACTTAGCCAAGTAGAATGGCAACCATGTTAGGTCAACCACAATGCATGTTTGCAAAGAGTAGGAAATAAAAATTATCACTTATTAAATATCAGCATTAATATCATTATTGTTAGCATAGAGTACATATCACCGGACACCAAGTTCTCCAACCTCAACCTTGCATAGTTTCCATGCCACCCATCGTTCAATTTCGATACAAGGGCTGGTTAACTCACTATTACTGAGCTCGTCGTCATTGTCGTTGTTAGGGCATACCATGAAATAAAATTATAGAAATTCTATAAAAGTAGGCTTTTTGAAATCATGAGTGTAATGGTAATTCCGGGATATCACCATCCGAACTCACATCATCATCATAGAGAGGGCGAAATTCTAAGATGCAACTTCGGAATCTGACCTTCAAGAATCAGCCCATAGAACCCACTCACAGCATCTTGCTCAATAATTAGAACCTTATATTGCTTAGTTGGGCTTCATATTATTATATTTACATAAAACTCAGAACATGTAGTAAGCATTGTGTGGCAAGAGCCTACAGTTAGTTTCACCTTATAATAGTGAAAGAGCATACTTATGTGTTACATTAAGTACTAGTAGCCTGCTTCCCACCAGCAGAGTGACCCTGTGCACTTCCTGTGTGCATACAGAGACCCTGTGTACGTACAAGTACTACATAATCTTGCCACATAACAAAAGGCAGCCATATTTAGTGACCATGTGATTTTAGAGTCATACTCGAAGCAATTTAGTTCTTCAAGTTTCATCATTTTATTCACACTTTGTGGACCTTGAAAGACCACATTTTGGTGAGAAGCATTTCCTTGATTTTATGAGTTACTTTTAATAAGTTTAGAGACAGAATTCACTGGATTTTCTGAGATTTTACAGTTGATTATTCATTCAGCATGTTCAGCAAAAAACAGATTGAACTGCAAATAGTGTTTAGATTTGACAAATTAGACTGCACATTTTTGGACTCAACTTGCCATGTTTAATAGATTAGACTTTTCCATGTACACGTATTATAGTTTGCTTATTAGTGCTTTTCTGCTTTATTAAATTGCAGATTGTTATCTCAATCTACTAATAGTGCTATCAGCAATCACCACCATGTTTGTCAAGTGGCTTCATTGTGTTTTGTGTGTGGTTCCTGGATCGATTGTGAATACCAGTCACTTGGGAGAACATTTCTCATAAGTTTGAGAACTAGTCCGAAACTCCTCTGGGCACAAGTGAGCCCCGTGGCAGCCACAAATTACATTGCACTGATTTGAAATTGCGTCCGATAACTGACTGTGATATACAACACAATAGATTTCAAATTCGACAGAAACCGTTGAAGAAAAAAAAATAATTCAACAAAAACAAAAACTGCAATGTGTAAGGGAACTCCCATACATTTTACCAACATCAATTTCTTCTAAAAGAGGGCGCGCTACCCAAATACTGGTCACTGAGACGTCTGTTATCGGACGCAATTTAAACGTGGATCACAATCTGCCCAAACGAAGTCGGCATTAAGTGAACAAACATAAAACACACTTTGTGGAGACGATAACTCAAGAACAACACAGTGCACTGAATTGAAATTCGTTTCAATTTAATTGTTCGGTATAGGACACAAATCGATTGAAAATCAACGGGAATCTTGAAGAATAAAATTTATTATGATTTAAAGAACCTATACCATTCATTGAAATTCAATCCGAATTCAAGTGAACAAAAATAAAGCACTCTGTGGAGACGAGGCTCAAGAAAAACACATTGCACTCAATTGAAATTTCGTCCAATAACAATTGTTCCGATAATCGAAACAAGTGTTCTGGGAACACTTGATCTATTTGTACAGTGAACTTAAATGGGGTCACTTTAACGGACTTGTTTTTGATAATATGTGCAGTACATACACTTTGTTTTAAAGGAGAGTGAATGACGCAGTTAAATAGAACGCATTCTATTTTTAATTGCGCAGTAAAACTAGGATCTCTTTTACTGGCTAATTAGACACTAATTACCGTAATTTTCGGAATATAAGCCGCGCGGCGTATAAGCCGCACCAACCGCAGCAGTTCAATTTTGTAAGGCCTCCAAATTCTAGTCAAAATGCTCTGAACCAGTTCCATTTGCACTACGAAAGCTATAAAAGGGCCACAAATGTTATGTCAAATCATTTACAGTCGATTACTCTTACAAACAAATATGGGAAATTGATGATGAGAAATAAAAAACGGGAATTGCTGCCGGCTGGCTCGTCAGTGAGCCTGTGCCGGCGAATGACATTATTTTCCCCCAGCACTTGAGAGAGTATGCAACCCACCATGTGTTGTCTGACTGGAGCGCTACAAATCCTGCTTTGTGGCAACAGACGCTGAGTTGTTTTGTTCTAAAGGATAAACAAGTCCGTTTTTACAGCAAAACTTATCAAATTGTTGTGATTACTAACGAGTAGTAACGTCAAAACTTCAAGTTTGGATCGTAACTTCCTTCAAAAACAGTCAACACGATGCCGAGATTTTTATGGACGAATCCATTAATTTCGTAGGGGTGGTTTCACTCCTGTTTTGAGTTTTACATCATTTCTTGAATACATTTCAAGAAAAAAAAATTATATTGTGACGTTGAACAACTGATTATCAAATATGTTTCAAACTCCATAAAAAGTATTAGTTGTCTTTTTCCTTTTTTTTAACTGGGGAAATATTGGTAATTATTGTTCCCAAGAAAGTGCACCCGTTTATTACCACAAATGGTGTGGTCCATGGGGAATCCCTGCAGCATGCATGCAGCATCCGGTTCGTTAGTGTGACGTCACCTCCAGCACTTTCTGCACGATTGGAACCGGAAGTTAACGCAGCTCGAGCGTTTGCAGCCAATGGGCGCTAGTAATCAGTGGTGTGCACGCGTGTATGACGTTTTTACTAACGAACAAAGAGGGCGCTTTATAGTCAAACAAGCAGAAGCCGGAATTAGGGACACTTCACTGGTTCACTCATGCTGGTTATCGTGTATTTGGTACCAGCATTTATAAGCCACGATGGCGCCCAAATGGCCCTCGTTTATAGTTTTCTCTGTGGAGGGGGGGTGCTTGAGCGCAAGGAGGAGATTCTACCTTTTCGTTGAGCGTAGTGACTTCTTCCTTGCTGATCTTCCAAGGAAACTTCTCCGTGGTCTCCCCTGCTTCCTCATGCAGCATCCAGGGTTTGGACAGCTCCTTGAACCTCCTTGGGCTTTTTGTTCAGGTCTGGGATGACCTCCACGTCCGAGCAGTTGATGCGGAACTTGCTGAGCATGTTGGCCATGTTCATCTTCTCCCTGTTCATTTGCTCCTTCTTGCCCGTGGTGGCAAAGACGCGCAGCTTGCATTTCTCCCAGTTGGATTTCATGGAGTTGAGGTGAGGGATGAGTAGGGTCAAGCCTGGGGGTGATGGAAGGTGGGGGGGGGGGGGTTTCACAAACAAAAATTATACAGAGCATTATTTCCCTTTGACATAAAGCATGTGTTTCCTTAGACATGCAGCCATCCAGAATAACCTGAGAGATCTCTGAAAGGCTCCATGAAATGAATTGGACACTGAAACATATATTAAAATAATAAGGCCAACCAAGAACAAATAGTGTGGTGTTTTCTATTACATATAGAAAAAACAACTGTGTGGTAGGGTAGGTAAAAATCTGTTTTTGGGGGTTTGACATTTCTATAGCCTAAAAATATAGGGTGGGATGGTAGTCATTAAAATTTACTTTTTTTCTCTATTTTGCATGCATTAGTTAACATGTGAATCATTCTGCACTACTGACCAACTAACACAAAAATAAATATAAAGTTTATAGTTTTTACTATGGGGGGGGGGGGGGGGTTTGCTTGAGCGCAAGGAGGAGATTCTACCTTCTCTTTGGGCGTGGTGACTTCTTCCTTGCTGATCTTCCGTAAAAACTTCTCTGTGGTCTCCAGGCTGCTTCCTCATCCAGCATCCAGGGTTTGGAGAGCTCCTTGATGATTGTGTTAGTCTTGATCTTACCCAACCCACCAATCTAGACGGAAACCAATCAGGATGGAAAATTTGAAAGCATTTGCTCTAAATAAATTGTGTCCAGCTAGGTCTTGGAAAAGACCAAAGTTAGCGCTGCAAAAAGCGAAAAACCTGGACAAATCGGGTTTAATCATCTTGTTATAAATTTTGCAACTTTGACTTAATTTTTTAAAGACCTGTACTCAACATACTCATCGAAATATTCATTAAAATAATTCACCAGAGGTACACAAGACTTGTAAAAAGGTACTCAACTAATACAAAACCTCAGGATTCATTGAAAACAAATGAATCGACTCATAAAATAGTACTCAGTAAAAAATAGTCTACTTGTCAAAAAAAAACTACTAAATCACTTGACTTATTGCAGACTGCTTCACTCGTCAAGCAGACTCGACTTAAAAGACCGAAGTTTTCAAACAGTGCCTCAATCCATTTAAAACTGGTGTTCCAGAGTCCCTAACTTAACTCAACTAAACTCAACTAAAATAGATTCAAGTTTCAAACACAGGCAAAGTTCTTGTATTAATTTTACATTGATTAGACGCTGGTGTCATTCTGAATGACTGCAACACTCAATCTTTGGACGACTTTCATGTGTAGTTGCTCCTCATTGTTTCAAACGTCAAACTTAATTCAACACTTTGGAATAATTTAGTTCGGCACTTCTCTGAATGCTAGTCTGAAACGCATGTAGTTGTCAAAAGGCACACAACTCATCAAAATGCACAAAACTTGAGCTATCCACGCATACTCAGGTCTGACCCTGATCCCCCTCATAAGCCTACCTGGCACCTGCATGAGTGCCTGTGCCCCGGTTCTTAGCGTAGAGCTTGCTACCATGGCTGGGAATGCCTTGATCTTCTGAACATCCACCCATTTCTCCTGAGAGTCTGTCAGAAGCTCCATCAAATGTGTACTCCGCTCACCTTGAATAAAAGACGCGACAAAATGTTTCCCCTTAAAGCTTAGCATCTTTACTTTACTAAAGAAATTAATACTCTACTAAAATAAAAATTTAAAATATAATATCTCACAAATTCTTCACCAATAAAAAGACAAATCACCCAATCTCTATGACATTTACGTTTATGCTACAAACAACTTGCAAATGTAGCAGATTACTTATGATCCGCAACGCTAGGTTCTGATCCAACTGCTTCACAAGGACAAACTTTTGTCAAATCACAGACAACTTGCGACCGTAGCAGATTACTTACGGTCTGCACCGCTAAGTTATGATCATAATGCTTCACAAGGACATGCTTGTGTTAAATCACAGACAAGTTGCAACTGAAGCAGATAACTTATGATCCGCACCGCTAGGTTCTGACCAAATGCTTCACAAGGACAAGCTTTTCTTAAATCACAGACAACTTGCAACTCAAGCAGATTACTTACGATCAACACTGCTCTGCATATGAGAAGGGCTGTGCTCTTGGTGATATGGGAGACGAAGTAATCATAATGCTTCACAAGGACAATCTAATGTCAAATCACAGACAAATTACAACTGTAGCAAATTACTTATGATCTGCACCTCTAGGTTCTGATCGTAATGATTCACAGGGACAAGCTTTCATCAAATCACAGACAAATTGCGACTTTAGCCGATAACTTATGATCAGCACTGCTCTGCATATGAGAAGGCTTGTGCTCTTGGTGATATGGGAGACGAAGTGAACCAGGGCAGGCCTGCATCCAGGGCGACCAGTCAATGCAATAATCTGTTGCCTGTACAGGGAAATACAACAATCCACAAATTGAAAGGAAGAGGGAATAGAACCTGGGACCTCCGGATTGCCGTTCCAGTGCTCTACGAACTGAGCTTGACCAAGCTCCATCGTGTTTAGTCTCCCACTTTCTCCATCGTGTTTAGTCTCCCACTTTGTCAATGTCTATGTTAAGAATAGCCATTGGACAGAGTGGTAATGACTCGAGTCGACTCGAGTCACAATTTTATGAAAAATTTATGTTCACGTTACTTTGCGAATACTTGTTAAGAATAGCCATTGGTCAGAGTTGTACATGTAATGACTCAAGTCACAATTTTATGCAAAATTTATGTTCACGTTAC